AAAAAAATATTGAGCCTCTAGAAAGAGTGCAGAGAAGAGCAACAAAGATGATCAGGGATCTGGAGGCTAAAACATACAATGTACGAGTGAGGGAATTGGGTATGTCTAGTCTAACATAGAGAAGGACTAGGGGTGACATGATAGCAATCTTCCAATATTTGAGGGGCTGCCACAAAGAAGAATTGGGGGTCAAGCTGTTGTCCAAAGCCCCTGAAGGCAGGACAAGAAGCAACAGATGGAAGCTTAACAAAGAGGGATCCAACCTAGAACTAATGGGGAATATCCTGACAGTGAGAACGATTAACTAATGGAACAACTTGCCACCAGAAGTTGTGGGTGCTCCATCACTGGAGGTCTTCAAGAGGAGATTGGACAACCAATCTGTCTGGAATGGTATAGGGTCTTATATACTGCTCCATAGTGCTTTATCGCACTCTCTGAGTGGTTTACAAATGTCAGCCTGTTGCCCCCAACAATCTGGGTCCCCATTTTATCAAGTTTGGAAGGATGGAAGGCTGAGTTAACCTTGAGCTGTTCGGGATCGAATTCTTGGCAGAGTTGCCTGCAATACTGCATTCTAACCACTGTGCCACCACCATGTCACCATAGCTCCACAGCTTCTGGAGTCAAACAATTTGGCTTGCCTCCAGAGTTGTTTTCAAGAAGAGACTGGACAGCCATTTGTCTGGAATGGCATAGGGTCTCCTGCTTGAGCAGAGGGTTGGACTAGAAGACCTCCAAAGTCCCTTTCAACTCTGTCATTCTGTTATGGCGGGTGTCCTGCAACTTCTCTGCAGTGAGGAGTTTCTCTTCATTTAGCCTTTTATTTCTGAAAGGGGGATTTATTTATTTATTTATTTATTTATTATTAAACTTATATGCCGCCCTTCTCCCAACAGGACTCAGGGCGGCTTACAGCATATTAAAACAATACAAACACTATCCCCAATAAAAACCAATTAAAAACAAATATTTAACCGCTGTGTTATCATTAAAATTCTAATTAAAATTGTCCCTATTTAAAACTCTCCCTAGGCCAGACCCGCTTGCTGAAAAAGCCATGTCTTGAGGGCGCGGCGAAAAGATAGGAGATCTGGAATCGTCCGGATCTCGGGGGGTAGTTCGTTCCAGAGGGTGGGGGCACCCACAGAGAAGGCCCTCCCCCTGGGGGTCGCCAGCCGACACTGCTTGGCCGACGGCACCCTGAGGAGGCCCGCTCTGTGGG